CAGCTCACCACCATGTGGTCATCACATGTAACCACCTGTAACCTTAGAGTCAGCTCACTATCACATGTAACCACCTGTAACCTTAGGGTCAGCTCACCATCACGTGGTCATCACATGTAACCACATGTAACCTTAGGATGCAGCTCACCACCACGTGGTCATCACATGTAACCTTAGGATGCAGCTCACCACCACGTGGTCATCACATGTCATCACATGCAACCTTAGGATGCAGCTCACCCCCACGTGGTCATCACATGTAACCTTAGGATGCAGCTCACCACCACGTGGTCATCACATGTCATCACATGCAACCTTAGGATGCAGCTCACCCCCACGTGGTCATCACATGTAACCTTAGGATGCAGCTCACCACCACGTGGTCATCACATGTAACCACCTGTAACCTTAGGACACAGCTCACTGTCACGTGGTCATCGCATGTCATCATATGTAACCTTAGGATGCAGCTCACTATCACATGGTCATCACATGTAACCACATGTAACCTTAGGACGCAGCTCACCATCACGTGGTCATCACATGTCATCATATGTAACCTTAGGATGCAGCTCACTATCACGTGGTCATCACATGTAACCACATGTAACCTTAGGATGCAGCTCACCATCACGTGGTCATCACATGTAACCACATGTAACCTTAGGATGCAGCTCACCACCATGTGGTCATCACATGTACCCACATGTAACCTCAGGACACAGCTCATTATCACGTGGTCATCACATGTACCCACGGCCCCTTCAAGGCCGGTTGATGTGCTTCAGCTACAACGCTGAGGCATCCCACTCCGTTTCCTGCCGAGTCTTAAAGTTAATACGTAACATCCACCCTGCGTGGCCCTTGTTAGTTTTCCCCATGCATTCCCAGTGAACCAAACTGGCACTGATGTCTTGTCTCTAACGCTACGCTTTATGCAACGCACACGCTCTGTTTATGGCTCCGTTTATTCGCATCCGGGCGATTCAGAGGACCCAGGAGGGAAACGTCACATCGCACGTCCACTGCCGGACACTGCGGGGACTTTCAGGGCGGTTCACTGGAGTTCCAGAAGAATGAGGGAGAAATGCGTTCCAACGTGAGGAAAATGGCCGCAAATACCAAGTAGCTGATATCACCAGCACTGAGCCACATCCGGCCCACCGCCTTCACCAGTGACCGGAGCTGCACGGTCCCCCAGGCGAACGGGGCCACGGCTCTGCCTTGGGTCTCCTTCAACTCCAGCCCTGAGGACGGCCAAGGCCGCCTATCGAGGAAGGCAGGCAGCCAGGCCTCCTGTGGACCCCCCTCCTTAAAATTCACCAACAGGACGCCCTTCGCTCCCTCCAGCTTAACGGAGCGCCATGTTGACAACATGCACTTAATTAGGGAAAACTCTTGCACTTAACTCCTCAGCGAGTCGGCCCGAGCCTGCCTGGGCCAGGAAGGGCTGGGATATGAAGGGAATGAAGGCTCGGCCCTTCTTTCTGAGTTCTCAGGAAAGGGGGAGGCAGACAGACAGACAGGGCACCAGCAAGTTAGCACAAAGCTGAGGATCACGGAGGAAACACTGCAGAACCAATGGGGACCCGGGAAAGCCAGGCCTGGAGGAGCATTAGCAGGACAAAGGCTTTTAGGTGGAAACCAAGGTGGAGTTCAGAGCAGCTGCAAGTTGCTAGAAGGCAACTCGGGGGATCAAGGCCGAAAGAAGGGCCCTGAGTCAGGGACAGAGAGTGCGGAGATGAAGGGCTGAGCGGAAAGAGAAGCGGAGGTGAGGGGGGCACGGAGGGCTGTGGGCAGGCAGGCAGGAGGGCGTGGCCACCGGACGGAGCCGGCAGAGCTAAAACAGCAGCCGTGACCATCCAGCACGGCCCCCAAGCCCTTCCCATGCCATCGTTTAAAAATCACAGCGAAACCACTATGAATAAACCGTGACTGATCCCTTTACAGACGACGCACCTGAGGCCAAACGTGAGGCCACACTGCGTGGGACCAGCGGAGCCAGCACTGGCCCTGCTCTCGGCCCTGGGCGGCCCCTCTGCATGCGGGTGGCACCGGGCCACGGGTGCCCGCGGAGAGCGCTGGAGGCAGGAGAAGCCCGGACACAGGGAGGGTTTATGTTCGGACGGGACCATGTGGCCTGGCCATCCAGCCCTGGGGCTTTTCTTCAAAAGAGAGTGAGTGGAGTCGTTGATACCGACAATTCACTGGGCCCCTTCGATGTGCCAGGAACAGATTTCGTCCTTCAACAGCCCTGGGAAGGTCGTGTTCGCCTCCTTGGAGAAAATGCCTCGACGGAGGCCGAGAGGGACCCGATGCCCATTCTCCCCGCCGGGCGGCCACTCCCTGAGCACAGTGACACGGTACCTACCACGCTGGCGCCCGGCACCGCCTCCAGGCAGTCATCCGGCTGAACTTGGGCTGATCCCTGTGCAAGTGGGAAACAGACCACATCCGTGAGCTGCGATGATGCAGTGAACGTGCTTTAAAGGGGATACAGCCCTGAAGACGGGTCCGCAATCGTTCCGTGTTGTGATCAGTTACGCGCCCCTCGGATCCCCTCCCAGGTGCAAGCTCCTCGGGGAACAGGCCCGATTTCTATCAGGACTGGAAAATAGGCATCGCCAGGACCAAGCCATGAACGAAGGAATGAGTGGGTTCCCCCATGTGCTGCCGAAGCCCCTGCTGGGTGTGGAGTGAGCCCCCCCAGGAGCAGTAATCAGGAAAGCCCGTCCTGTGACCTTCACAGGGAACGAAGCCCCGCCCACTGTCCAATTAGCCCCTCCCCTCCACTCCTTCACCTCGCACAATGTCACAATGGGCGCTCGGGAGGAAGGCAGACAGCACGGGGCGATGCCAATGAACTTCCCAGCCATGCACTCGCCCACCTCCACATGGGCTGGTTAACTCGGGCCTTTTCCCGTGCTCCTGGGACTATTGCTAGATCCCAAAGGAATAACCACATATGACTGTGTATGCGTTCATGCATGCCCCCAACCCCCCCCCCCCCAGACACACACACACACACATACACACGTCACCAGGACCCTGCCATGGGCTGACTTGAAGTCAAACACCTAACTTGAGCTCTTACTTCTTCTTGTCTGTCACAGACAGAAATACTTAACTGTTGTCCCCAAAACTGGGCACAATTCATCAAGCGGAGAGTATGTTAGAATCTAAGAGAGAGGCTCAAAGGGACTGCTCTTCTTCCAGGACTCCAGAGAGCCCTGATTTCAAACTGCCAGGAAATCTCACCAAATTAAAGTGCCCAGCACCGGGGAGACGGGGCTGGCCGGCGGGCACACCCTCTCAAGCACAGGGTAATGCCATCCGACCCGTCTGTGCGAACACTGGCCTTGACGTCACTGCTTGAAGAAACGACCCGAGGGCCCTGGCTGGTGTGGCTCAGTGGACAGAATGCTGGCCCGCGGACTGAAGGGTCCCGGGTTCGATTCCGGTCAAGGGCACATACCCAGTTGCAGGTCCCCCAGCCCTGGTCGGGGTGCATGTAGGAGGCAACCGATTGATGTGTCTCTCTTACCTAGATGTTTCTCTCTGTCTCTTCCTCCCTTCTACTCGCTCTAAAAATCAATGGAATAATATCCTCAGGTGAGGATAAAGAGAGAGAGAGAGAGAGAGAGAGAGAGAGAGGAAAGAAAAGAAAAGGAAAGGAAAGGAAAAAGGAAAGGAGGAAAGGAAAGAAAAGAAAAGAAAAGAAAAGAAAAGAAAAGAAAAGAAAAGAAAAGAAAAGAAAAGAAAAGAAAAGAAAAGGAATGAGGGAGGCCCAAGGGTGGGCCCTGAAGACACAGGCCCCGTCCCCATCCTGTTCCTTCTCTCTGGCCGCATCGGCCCGGCCCAGCACCATGCCAACACGTAACCACACGCTGAACCCACACGCCCGCCTCCCGCCCGCCCTGCAATTGAGGAGCCTAAATAAACTTTACAGACATTTTTACTTCAAAACAGTTGCGACCCATATGCTTCCCATTATTCTGGAACACATCAGCATTGTTATCCACCACACACACAAATGAGCGGTGTATTATCACACGGTGACGACGGCGTAAGGGGCACGCAGGGTCCTAGCTCGCCACGTCGGAGCAGGGTTTACCCGCGTCTTCTGTCCCTCGCTGAGCGCTAAGGACAGAGATAGGCAGGCCGACCTGGGACGTGCTCCTTCCAGCTCAGCTCAGGGCGGCTCCCCGGGAGCCACAGGTGCCCAACCCACGGTCACTGCCACCAGCGACCTGTCGCTCTGAGGTCGGAGCGGTGCGGTGTGGGCTCCTCTGTTACGTGCTGCCCGGGCGGAGGGGGGTGGCCTGTTCCAAACCATCCAGCTGCTGCC